ACATGTTTGAAAAAACCACTGATCCTAACTATTCCTTCTTTCTTGCATTTACTATTCAGTTTCTATATTTACACAGATGACCCCTAAGAAATCAGCAAATAGACGTAAATGCCCTCTCTCTGCAACTCACCCATCTCCCCTCTAAGGTTCTGTTGTTTGGAGAATCATGAACCAATGTTTATACTAGAATGATTTCTAACACCCTCTCTTGCTACTACTGTATTTTAAAGGTAGTTTAAAAGTGTGGCCAAAAGGTTTGCCAACAGACTCGGGTTTAACTAAGAAAATATGTACACTGCTTTGACTCAGTAAACTCATGTTCCGAATGGTTCAGCTTCTTCATATTTGCTTTTTCCCATATTAGAAAACAATTAGCTTACTAAACAAATTTGAGTATTTGGGGGGAAAGATCTACTTTGATTCTCCCTCATTTGACTAAGAATTACAAGATATTTGATAAGCTTGTTTGAAAATGGACATAACCAAATATTATCGTAAACACCCAATGATTTGTTTTACCTGCAATATAAGTATTTTACTTAGTTGGCTTACATAGTAGCTAATAATATTTGTTAATGTAATTTAACTGCTGTGAACCTTTACTGAACAAATATTGAAATTTATACAAGTCAAAGAATGAGGATCTCTAATGACTTTTGTAAAGACTTCCGTTTAATAGTTAAAGAGAAAAGTTTATATGACATAGCTGGTGTAATTAACACCAGATTTTACATTTAATAAAAAGAAAGAAGCATATGTATTTGCTTTATTCATTCCAGCATAATTTGCTTTACAGTTATGGGTATTTAATGAGCAAATTCCAGCTAAAATGCTATGTTGATTTTCTAAGTGAACTTTGAAATAGCTATGTACCTTACAAAAACGGTCTGTTTACAATTATTATCTATCTTACAACTACAAGTGTGTTAGACTTGATGCATCCAGTACAATTATCTCTCTCTCTCTCTCTCTCTCTCTCTCTCTCTCTCTCTCTCTCTCTCATTCTCTCTCTCTCTTTCTTTTTTCTTCTTTGAAGAAAAGGAAGATTTTTATTATTTTGGTTTGGTTTAGTTTAGTTTAGGTACTGGGTTTGGCCCTGTTACTCACTTAAATGCAGTTAGGTTAGCCTTGCACCAAATAATGTAAATACAACTGTAAATAATAAAAATATGTGTGGTTTTTTATATGTGCTGTATATTGATTCATTTGTTTGATTCATAGGAGTTGTGGTCATGCTTAACTCTCATTGAACTCAATGGGCTTACATATGCTTAACTTGACTGATTCCTTATCCTTTTGCCTCACACTTGCATATCATGGCACCTTGACACTGAATATGAGTATTTAATTCAGTAAGCTTCAAATTTCAATTAAAATGTCATTTAAAAATACTTAAGCACACTAGGCCTGGTTGAAGCACTCTTGCCAAGATAAACCTAGGTGTTCCAGGAAATAGCAAATGTGACTTTGGAGCAAAAGTCCTGGATGTCCTTGCCAGTAGTTCCACTAAAATCAAATAAACTATTCCGAAATCTTTGTGTCCAGGATAGCTGTATCTCCCTCCCCCTCTTGTTCAGAGTAGTTTGTTAGTCCAGCTAAAGCTGTGTTGCTCTTCACTTCACTGACGGAAGATGATGCCCATTATTTTGAGAACTGATTCACAAGTGTAAAATGTGCTTTTTCTTTGCAGAAGCAGTTTCTTTGAGTCTGTTGAGTTTGGGGGTCACCATTCCTGTCTTCAGTAATTCTGCTGTTCCATTTGGAACTCAGAACTATGAACAGACTTCTCAAATTTTATTTATTGATTTATTAGCACTTCTAATACAACATCTTCCACAAATGTCATAAAGGTGGTATATTACAGTTTAGAACCATAATATATAAACACATTGGTAGTGTGTGAAATTTGCAGTTTACTTTGAGAGTCAGAATTAACCTTGTCTCAGAATGATCCCTGGTTCAGAACTATCAGTGTCTGTGCGATTACTGTGCACTGGGAGGAATACAAGGCTCATTCAAACAGTACAAGACCAGACTCTGAACTCATGTGCTCCCTTTCTTAAGAACCTTTCCTGACTTAATTTCATGGGAAACCATAAGGTTTCGTTCTGAGGGCTTCTTTCATTCTGAGCACCAAATTACATTGTGGAGAAGTTTTCGGGGGCCATATTCCAGTGGCCACAGGATCTAGAAACAGAAGGGGCAGGCTAAAATGCTGGCCTACGTTGGTGTGAAGCTCTTACTGCAAGGAACTAATGCATAGGAGAGACATGCCAACCTTTTAGAATGAGGGAAGGACCACACAAAAGCTGAGAAACTAGAAAAATATTAGAAGTCAGGGGCTGGCATCAGAGGAAGGGGGCATAGATGTCTGGAAAATACTGCAGAGCTGGGTTTGGTCCCCAGCAGGACCAGCTTGGCTCTTGGGTCTGCAGGGCTGCATCCTTGCCACACTCTATGTCTAAAAGGAGTAGGCTGTGGTTTGTGCAAATTACACCATGCTTTGCTCAGACGTAATAGCAGAGTATGGACTGGATCCTTAGGTGCCCTTAAACAAAAGGAAGGGCTTCTTCCATTTGTAGAAGAGACTTCAATTGAATGGATACTTTTGCAATCACAGAGGGAAGGGAACTTTGCCAATTTTCTCTTCCTTTTGCTGCACCCCTGTGCGACCTTCCACACTTCTAATCCCCCTGAGCTGATCTTCAGTGAGTACAGGTAGCTGCAGATGGAAAGGGAGCCAGGAACTGCGATGACCCATTCCATGAGTAAAACTTGGCTCCTGGAGGTATGGATCAATCCAATGGGTTGCCACAAAATAGGAAGCCTTTAAAGGACAGGTGGGTTTGAGGAGAGGAAGAGAAGAGACTACAGTGGTTGCAAGGAAACAAACATTTTTCTAGCCCAACAACAAACTGACAACAATGACGGAGAGGGAGAGGGCTAGGGCTAGTGCTAGTGTCATTCTACTGTACATTCCCCAGTCATAGCACACTGTTGATCCCTGTCAGCACTTCCAGTCCAGAGATATATCAAGTAACTAGTGGTGACAAAAAATGCTGGAAAGCACTGCTAACTACTCAAAAAGCATTTCTCTATTATGTTATCTTTCATATGCTACTTAGAACTGTCATTTTATGATTTTCCCCTAATATTCAATCAAAATAGGTAACTTAACGTAATTCATTTTCCTTACCTTCAGTGAATTGAGGCAACATTCTGTCCATCTTTTTTTCTGATAAACTTTTTAATATACTCACCACTTGGCCCAACATATCTAGTTTATTTTAGCTTGTCATCTTATGCTTTGACTTCTAGACCCTTCATTGCAGTAACTCTTTTCCCATATCCTTGTCAAGGTCCTTGAACTGTAGCACCCCAAAGATCTTTGTTTTTTGTGTTTGTTTTTAAAGCCTTCTCCACAGGTGGTCTTACCAGTGATGAGTGAAGTGGCAACATGACTTTTTAGTTTCAGGAACAATGGTTGTGTTGAAGTAACATTTTGTGCTGCGCTTTCATCAAATAGTTCAAAGTGGCAGTTTTTTTCCTTTATCTTCACAACATTTGTGTGACCTGCATGAGTCAGAAATTTCTTTTTTCCATGTGCAGTGCTCTACATAATCTTCCAGATGTGCTCAGATATCAGCGGCATTTCATGTAACTGCATCACGTTGTTATCATTTCAGTCCTTAAATCTGTCTCTGCTGCTGCTTAGTCAATTATCAGCACTAGATCATATGGGCAGGAAAACTTGTATGTGCAAACTTTACTTGGAGATCAGAAAATCCACTTGGATAATTTGTGCAATTTTTGTCTACAATGAAAATTACATGATAGAGAAATCCTTTGATTTATACCTGCCATTTAGAGAAATCCTTTGATCCATGAACTGGTCACTGTTTGATTTTTATTTTACTCTTCTGGCCTTTGTGCAGTATAGCATATTTGTTGACAGAGGCCACTGTGTGCTGGGGTGTGTGAATTCCACACTGCGTAGCAGTTCTGGATTGCTTCCACACTCCTTTCTAGCAAAAGAAGGAGCATGATGTGTTATCACCACTACTGATGTATGAGAAATTCAGTTCTGTTCTTTTTTTCCAGGATACTAATCTACTGTTCATGCCCATTCATTTCTGAACTTGCAGCGTGATTCACCAGAGAGACTAAAAATACATGCATTTCAGAAATGTGCACTAATGATACATTGGGGAAATGGGCATGCAAATACAGATGGATTTTTCTGTGGAAAGGGAAAACAAAAGTTCTCAGGTGGGATAAACTTTAAGGTGGAATTCCAAGAACCTGTCACTGATTTGCATGACACTTCCTTTTCATGCCCTCACAAGCAGCCAATGAAAAGGAACAGATGTGGACAAACCGAATAAAATAATGTTATATCATGCATCTTCTTTCACTAGATGTTTCCACAATATGAAGGAAGGGTGGGCAGTGTATGTCTTTGGGTAGAAGTTGATAGAGGACACAAGCAGAAGGATGCTGTGACATTCATGTCCTGGAGTAGCTTTCCTGTAAGCATCTATTTGGCTACAAGGGAACCACAAGTTGGACTAGATAGGCCTTTGGGCTGATCCAGTTTAGTTCTTATATGGTTAGGTAGCATCTTAATGTTCAGTTCCATACCTGGCCAGGTGCAGAAACTGCTTAAAGAATGCCTGCCCATGCTTACTCTTGGGTGCTTTAGTCCTTTAGGTATGATGTAAGGATTTTCTGGATTGTGTCATTAATAACATTCAGAATTCATTTAATTTGTAAAATATGCATGTGGTCCAGAGTAACATGGATATTCCACTGGAAATGGCAATAATGGAAGATACCAGATGTAATGGAATGGAAAGCCATGAATTTGGAGAACTAAAATTTCCTCTAAAGTAGAGAATAATCCCTCACAGTTTCTTTATGATAAACAATTCAGACATAAAAGATCCCGCAGTGTCTCTCTTTAGCATACTCACCCGTTAAAAATACTTTCTGTATCACAGCTCTAGTAGAAGAAATTCATTCTGCACAACGGGAACGTGATGAGGCCATCATGACCAGGCTGAAACTGGCCAATGAAGAGAGGGATGATGCATGTAAACAGATACAACTGCTGGAACAATCTTTTGAAACGTATGTACTTCTCTCCTGCGATATTTACTGCTGTTTGCTGAAGTATCCTGTATCTTGAGTAAGAGTTTGCTGTATCTGGCACCCTTTTTTTCACATACAACAAATAGGCATTTCTCATCTAGTGATCACTTCAGCCTGTAGCCACTGCAGGTATTTTCTGCGTTGGAGCCAAAGGTCACAGACTTACTACAGCGACAACATCGCATCCTGTTAAACACAATTAAGCTCACTTAGCCATCACCAGTACTACGTAGATTGCAGTCTCTTTTGGGAAGAAGGATAGAAATACTTGTTGGTTTCTTAGCAACTAAAGGATGTGTTTCCTAGCCCCAAATGAATGGAGTAGGTGGTCAGGGGCATTCATGGTGCAGGAAGGGGGAACAGAACTGCGTGGGGAGTGCTCCATTGACTCTCCTAATATTTAGGTGCCCCTGTCAGCATTTTTGTAGTAATTGTCATTCATAATTATCAACACTGGACTCATTGATAACATTTTCATGCCAAGATTAGCATTTGGATTATATCATACGCTACTGTATTAACAAAGGAATCTTTGAATCTTGTATTGTTTGCTTGTATAGGTGTGGTAAGACTTAATTGCAGGATCTTTCTTGCTAAAAATGGAGCAAAATGCAAAGTGTTGCACAGGGAACTGGTGCATATGTGCTGGGGCTTCTGAAGCCCCTGTCCTGCCACACCTTCTTATGCGACTAAAAAACCTGCTCCAGGAAATTAGACATTTCTTCTGAGATTCTTCAAATTCAGCAAATGTGAGTGCAGTTATATGGAGAACTGGAGAAGTTATACATACCTCCTTGGACTCATAGACCAAGCTTGTATAGGCTCTGGCTAATCCATGATTAGCATGCGATCATAACTTGCTTGGCCGCTATCATTTGCAAGTAGCGTGCAACCTTTCAAAAAGATTAATGCACTCTTAAAAACTTCTCATCACAGCTTTTATGTAATTAGCCTACTCAGACAATCTAGTAGTTAGTGTAGATGTATTAATATACAATTTTCAGAATTGTTTTGGTAGAGGTTAAATCTATTAACAATGTAGGCCACCAGTGGCTTTACTTTGTACATGCATTTCACTTGGCTTGAAAGAGTTTTCAAATAAAGTTTAATCTAATTTTCTGACCTTTTGCTTTCCACTGACTTAAGACTGCAATCCTACACAATCTTCCTTGGGAGTAAATTCCATTAAAGGCAAAGAGAATGATCTAGTAGAGTTACCTGCTCGATTAACATTGCACTAGCAAAAAGCAATGCTTGTGCAATCCCAATAACACTTCCTAGTGCAATAGATTTTAGATCTTTCCCCCAGTGTATTTTGTTTTTAGGGATGTGATAAACAACATTAAAATATATAATTTTTGGTGAAAGTTGTAGATCCAGAAATATATAAATAAGAAGAGCATCTGTGCTTGTGCCGCTGGGGAACTTTCTTCATCTGAGCACATATGAACAATTGATCCTTGTAGTCATATATAGCAGTAAACATTAATAACTTAACATTCCGAATTCAGTACTGAAGATATGGAGCATTATTGAAAGATGGAATCGAGCAGGTGGCACTTTAATATGTTCAGTGTCATGGTTGACTCTAAAGACTAGTAGAATGAAATTACTTGAGGGTTCTAAAGATTTAAAAAGCGAACTCATTTTGCTGCACTAAGGAAATGCTACTGATCAGGCTTTCTGTGTCCCTTTTTTCTAGGCTAGAAAATATTAACCCTGAAGAAAATGACATGGTAAGCCATTCTCTGAGGAGATTTCTTGATGTCAGTCTTATATCTTAGAGGCTTAAGTTCAATTGAGTGGGTTTCAGGAACTAAGATGTGGGAAAAAGAAGAATTGACACACTAATAATGTACATCTTTGCTGCAGTATGAAAATTCAATAACTTTGCTCAGTCAATTTACAATTCACATGTGCCTATTAATTAAAACCCTATATTAAATAAAATATATTAAAACTTCTTGTCTGACTAACATATAATGCTGTTGGTAGACATTACAGGAATTACTGAACAGAATAAACAATGCAGACACTGGGAGCGCTATATGGAGAAGTGGAGCTGTAATTGTCGATCGAATATACAGGACCCAGGAACGAAGAAAGAAAATAACAGCAGAAGAAATGAGTGCAGTGATAGAGGAACGCGATGCTGCATTGGCTCAAGTAAGTCCACGTTATTTTATAAAGGGTTCGTTTGCAGATTGCAAGCCATTTACCACTTCACTTCTCGGAAAATGAATTGCTTTCCTGCTTAACATATTAGCTTTAAGAAAAACTTTGTTATGTGCAAAGCCAGGCTTCAAAAATATAGCAGTGATGAGAAGGATAATATATAGCAGGGATTTACATATTTTCAAGCCATTGAAAAAAAGAAATATAATGTATGAGATTACTAGGGAGCAGAGGCGGCAGTGGAAACAATCTTTAGATGATCTCAAATTGGGAGAAATGGAAACTACAGGCACTGGAGACAATAATGAAAATCCAAAATGACCTTGATAAAATGTAGATGGGGAAAATGAAACTTAACATAAACAAGTGTAAAGTAATTCATGCTGAACTTGAGAGTACTAGGAAACCAATATTGTGAGAAAAGAAAGAAGCTCAGTTCAGGTACTATACTGAAAGGCTGCAGGTTTGTAAGAGATCACAGTCTAAATATGCATCAATAAGGCAAAGACATTTGCTCCTCCGCTAAAGGTGACTTTATTGAAGAAGTGGCCTACAGTTTGTGGTCTCCCCCCCCCACACACACACACATGTGTGGGATGAAACGTGAACAGATAAAGTAGAGAGAGACTTGTAGCTCATTAGGGATCATACAATTCAGATTCCACATTGATTTAATGAGGAATAGCTGTACATAGGATTATCCAACTATGCTATGAGGAGGAGACATAGGGTTGCATCTCATGCTGTCTTTCCACCACCAGCAGAGCAGTACTGGTCTCTCCTTGCTCCTGAAGCCCCAGTTCATAGAATCTTAGAACAGTAGAGTTAGAAGGCGGCAATAAGGCCATCTGGTCCAACCCCCTGCTCAATGCAGGATTCCAGGTTAAAGCATCTCTAACAGATGGCTGTCCAGTTGCATCTTGAATGCCTCCAGTTTGGGACAGCCCTTGACCTCCCTAGGTAATTGGCTCCAATGTCCGCTTGTGCTAACAGCCAGGAGATTTTTGTAATTTGAGCTCATTATCCCATGTCCTGCACTCTAGGTTGATCAAGAACAGATCCTGGACCTCCTCTGTGTGGCAGCCTTTCAAGTACTTCAACAGTGCTATCACATCTCCCCTGAGACTTCTTAGGGCTGTTCAAGCTAAATTCTTTCTGTCTGTCCTCATAGGGCTTTTCTTCCAGTCTCTAGATGTTTTTTCTTATCCTTCTCTGAGGCTTTTCTGGCTTGTCTGCATTTTTCTTAAACTGTGGTGCCCAGAACAGGATGCAGTACTTAAGATGAGGTCAAAGTAGTGCTGAGTAGGGCAGACCAAGTACCTCACATGATTGGAAATTGATACCTATATCAATGTAACGCAGAACAGTGTTTGTCTTTTTTTGCAGCCACATCACATTGTTGAATTATGTTCAGCTAGTCATCAACAACAATTCCAAGATCCTTTCTGCTTGTACTGTTGTAGAATCTACTATCGCCCATCTTGTAATGATGCATTTGGTTTCTTTTTCCTGCGTGCAGAACTGGTGAGAACTAGCATTTGCCCATATTTAGTGCTACCTGAAAATCTGATAAGCAATTCCTAACGTTCCTCTTCCAAATCATTAACAAAAATGTTGAAGAGCATTGGACCCAGGACTGAACCCTGTGGTACCCCACTTGTTATAGTTTAAGAAGGTGCCATTGATGAGTACTCTTTGTGTCTGATTCTGTAGCCAGCCAGCCTGGTAGTGGTTCCATCTGGTTCACTTTTTGGCTGTTCAGAATGTCATGGAGCAGTTTGTCAAAAGCTTGGCTAAAACCAAGATATATTATGTTCACAGCATTCCCACAATCTGCAAGGGAGGTCACCTGATCAAAAAATCAGTTCAGAGTATTCTGGCAAAATGTGTTCTTGACAAATCCATGGGATAACACAGGTAAACTCAGAAAAACAAGGAAACTTCCTTCTAGGCACATTTAAACAGGCCACAGAATGCTGAGTTACCCTCAGTGAAAGTCCACTATAAATGCTTCCACTCTGCTCCAAAACACTCTTGATATAAAATGTGTGTCTAGCTGAATCCTCCTCCTCACCATCATCTTTATCTTTGTTTCCATTTTTTTTCCTAGAGCAGGTGCTGGGTCCCTGGAACCCTAGCATGGGTTAGTAGAAGAGCCTTTTAAGATCCAGACTGCGCCTTTGTACATAGTCTAGAGTTTTGTTTTGCTTTAAGATAACAGCTCCAAGCATTTTTAAAGCAATATCTGTTTTGGCCTTCTGCCAAGAGCTAGAACTGCTCTATGCATGGCCATTCCAAGAGTATGCCACCAGCACCGCCATTTGGAGTATACAACTAAGCAAGGCACTGTTCACAGGGCTAGACTGGTCCCACCCCCAGGCCTTCCATTGAGCTGCTCTAAGCGGGGGTGGGGGCGGCGGGCTATCAAATGCCTCCTCTGTAGGCTTGCCTTTGCTGGGGCAACAGTGGTTTTCCTGACTCTGGCATATTTTGGATTGTTTCTTCCCTCAACTCCCCTGTCAGCTCTAACCCTCCTGCCATCTGATTCCCTGATTCATAGCTCCCTTCTGAAATCTGCTTAGAGGCCCCTCAGGCAAATATAGAGGAATATAAGTTTAATAAATAAATAATCTGTCTACAACTGAAACACACTTCCTCTCCCTCACACACAGACATAGCCCTATTTACACACCCCAAACTAAGCCAACACCTTTATCAAGCAAGGTTGCCTTTTCTACCCCCAGTCCACCAAACAAAAAATCTTGTATTTCAGTACAATATTGTCCTCTCAAAAAAGGGACAACGTTTCGGAGGTACTCTTAGCATAAGCACAGCTGGATGGAGCTTTGGCCAGGAATTTTGCCACTAGTGCTAGTTCAGTGTTTAAAGATTTGTTTCCTTGAACATCAGATCACTCCTACATGGCGAACTTCGATTGAAACTGATAGGGATTTCACACATTTGTGATATAGCATAGAAATCTAGTCCCTTCAAAAAAATTAGTCAATAATTCCACTGGATAGCAAGTCCCTGGTGAGAGGATGCAAATAAATGACAAACTTGGGTAATAAAACACAACTGCTAATGGGCTGAATTCAAACTCAGTCATGTATACTTTAATTATATCCTTTACATTGGATTACACACTCCTTCAACCCTATTGAGTTCAACAGGTCTACTCTGTGACTAAGTCTGGAGGCAATCCAATAGATTTTATATTCTCACCAAACTCTTCTTCAAAAGTATGTTCTAGTAACATAACATTTGTCAGATGAGCAAGTTTTATGTTGAGTAACTTCTTGCTGTAGCAGTTGAGAATGCCAAAACCACTCGGACAGAGTATTGCAGTGAAAAAGGCAGATTCAGTATTACAAATTGTCAGGAAGAGCTTGGTATCATAATCAGTAAATATAATGATACTCATCTTAATGAAAAGCCACTGTTAGAGTATTGTGAGCAATATTAGTCGCTTCAGAAAAGGCCAGTGAAGGAGAGTGGGAGATTGGAATCTTAAGCATCTGAGGTTCCTTAATTTAGCAGGGAAGGATGTTGAAAGAAACACAGTATAGGTTTGTAAAATTACTACAGACACATTTTTTACTGAAAGCATTTTTTTAAAAAAATTATCATCAGCCAAAAGAATTCCTGGGGTAGCTTGGAAACAATCAGGTAAACAAGGTAGTACCCCTGCCTACAGACTTATAACCACAAAAGACACGTACCACAAAAAAAAAAAAAAAAAAAAAGGATCCGCTGGTAAGAGGAAAACATGTACAGCCTGCTGGAATGTTTGCTAGATCTGTTCTTGATTGCCAGGAAAAATCCATAGCCTAGATATGAATATGAGAGAGAGGAGATCCTCTTTATGATTTGTCCCACTTTCCGCTGCTGTTCCCCCTTCCCAATAAAATATTGGTTTGGAACTTGCAAATCCCAGTGTTTCTTAGCATCATAGTGTCAGCAGGGTCCTTCAACATGGTCCTAGACCACCTTGGTGAGGCAAATACAGACCTGAAGCATCCTCAGCTAGTTGCAATAAGGCCCGACCATGAGCCCCGCACAGCCTTGGGCAGGCAGCAAATACTGTGTGGACAGTATATTGACCTCGATTGTTCTTGGTCTGATCGGTCCTATGCGTGCAGGATGATACTACTCATTAGATTTGAAGGAAGTCATTGATGGCCTGTTGCCTTTTAGGAGTGGAGAGCAGCAGATGAAAATCAGCAATACCCTTCCATGGATTTTGGGATCCTTTTCTAATTTTTGATTCCCCTGCTACTATAATCTGCAGGTTTGTTCCATGTTTGACAATGATGTTTGTGAGTAGTTTTTTTCTGTTCTTCTGCCAATCAGAATTTATTTATGATTACATTATAGAAGCTGTTATTACTAGGAAACACCCACACTGAAATCATTTTTTCAACAGTTTCTTTATGTGTTTGTTTAACACAGATCACTGAAAGTAAGCAAGAAGATGATAACAAGAGGGGGCTTTTAAATTTGGTGTGGGACATCTTTGGTTTGTTTAACATTTTTATCACAATATGCTTTCCAACAGGATTTGTCAAACAGATCTGACCGACAGATCTTAAGCAACTTCAGCTCTGAACTGTGGATTCAAATTTTGAATCTCTTTTGAGCTGACAATTGATGTCAACAATACTGAATACAGTCTTAATAAGGGGCCATTCATCCAGAGCATGTTCTTGTCTCTGCACCTGGCTCCGAACATGTTCCTTTGCCACTGTAGCACAATGGGAGTTTCAAGGAGATATTGCCAGCCATAAATGCCACTTTTATCTTAAGTATACTGTACTCAAAATATTTGATTCCAGGCAGTACTAACCTTCTTATACTCATGATTGAAATGCATTTTTATGGGCTGCTCAGTGGTAGAGTGCCAACTTGATAATATTTTTCTTATATCAGATGTTTCAAAACTTAACTAGCAGATCATTCATTTGTTTCTTTTCCTCCCCCAAATTTGTATA